GAAGCTTAGAAAACCCTTCTTGGACACAACAGATCTGAAAAGAAGAGATTTTATTCATTTATTTATTTTTTAAGAGAGCGCTTGTTTTCTGAGGAAGAAGCAGAGTTAGTTTGTTTCCAGCTGAAATCATCCAGGTTCAGGAATTTGAATCAATCCACATCATTTCTGCTTGAACTAGAGAACATGAGTATCGACTTACATTTGGTCTGTGAGACACATGTCATAGTGACAGTATTTGGGTTAACATGGCATTACTCACCCTGGTCGCATTTCTTCAATATCAGGCACCAAGTTGAGGAACTCGTTCTTTGCAGCCCGCGCAAGGTAGGAGGTCTCCAGAGTGGGAACCATCGGGAAGTTTTCATAGTCTGAGCAGGAGGGACTGGAGGCACGTGAGCTGTTCTCAGGGGTCCTTTAACACAAATCACACCAAGTTAGAATCAAATAGATGACCTGTCAATAACTGTTTGCAGATCGAGGTCAATGTTCCTAAAAATGTGTTTACTTCTGGTCCATGGAGCCACAGCGGGAGTCCGACAGAGAGGGGCAGGTAGAGGAAGGGGTGAGGGTGGCACTGCTGAAGCTCGTCACGGATGGATCACGTCCGATCGGTGAGATGTGAGAAAGCTGAAGTGAAACAACAGCAGGATGAGGTAGACGTTAATATATCAACTCAATGATGTGACACAAAAAGGCAGTTTTTTTTACTTCTTATTTCTCACCTTGCAGTCACTGATGCTGTTCACCAGTTGGTTGTATTCACTATTGAAGGTGTGTGTCAGAAGGCGCAGGCACTACAACACAACAGGAACAAGACCGATCAGCTCCGAGCAGAGAAGGAAGAAGGCAGCAACAAGAACGCCCACTAAGCCCACGTTTTTCTCACCTTGGTGGCCAGCTCCTTCTCACGATCCACCAGGCTCTCGATGTCGGCGGAATCGTAGCCGCTGCTCTCGCTCGGCGTGATGGCGCTTTCAAAGGTGGTGCTGGAGATCTGAGAGGAGATGGAGGTGGACGTGGACAGGGTGCCGGAGCTCATGCTGGGGGACAGAGACTCGCTCAGGGACTTGGTGGTGGGAGCTGTTCCTACGGGAGCCGCCTCTCCCAGCTTCTCTCTCAGCGCCAGAAGGTGACGGGTCTTTTCCACCTGGATGAAAGATGGGGGCGAATGTGAGGTGGGGATAAGAGGGGAGGG